TGAATATTCGCTTGGTCCTTGAAGAAAAATGGGAAATATAGCACAACATATTTGTAGCCTCATTAACAGTATGATACAGACGATGTCTAGAGACAGTTATAGCACACGAGGGAGGCAATACAAAGTATTAAATAAATTTAAGTTTTTTGTTTGTTTGTACACTTAGTTATTACAGTTATTTTTTTTAATATCCTTATAGACCGAGAGCTGGCTACATAAAAAAAACATTATCATCGTTACATGGCTAATTTTTTGTGTGAAGTATCCTTTTGTGTAGCCATTGTGAAATAGTCATGTCTGCCAGCGCGATCCCGGGGCTTAAAGCGGGGGCGGCCAATCGAAAGGGTGAAATTTTGACACTAAAAATATTATAAGGTACACGAGTTATAATTGCCACATAGCTTTTATTTATTATTAGGAAACGTGTAAAATTGTTGACAGACATTTTTCTCGTGGCTGAAATGCCGGCAGACAACGCGAAAGAGGCATAGAATTTTGACAAAAGAAAATCATCGCATACATGCATGTCGGTTGGTGGAATGTCATGTTTATTGTTAATTAATTTAAAAAGCCGTATTCAAAAGGGCAGACAAAAAAATCGTTATTGAAATAATAAAGAAATATATTTATAATATAATCCTATATTATATGATTTATCTATACTTAAATGGATGAGGCGGCCAGCGTTCCCTGAATAAAGCACTAGAGTAATATCGCGCTTTTGATAACTTTCTGCAGCTGATTGAGCCACGATCTTTCTGTCTGCCCTTTTGCATACGGTTTTAATAAATATGACATTTCACCAATCGGCATGCAAATATGCCATAATTTTTTTCATTTCTTCAAATTTCATTTTTTAATAATTGAAGGGTCGGCCGTAACAACGTTGTATGTAACATTTTGCTGAAATGTGATGTTTCCCTAAAACAACGTTTTTTAAGCATATTTGAATGTATTGGCGCAACTGGAACCCAAAAATTTTGCCCTATGTCTGGCGATAGGGCGACCTTCAGTCAGTACCAGCCTTGCATTCCCGATAATAACGTTGTACGTGCGTTTAGGTGCTTAGTAAGATGGCTGTGCAACTTTCACCCGCGGCTCTTTCCCACTTAAATAGGGGAAAAAAAGGAAACTAAATGTAGAGGACTGGAAACAAAACGCGAGAAAATGTTTAAGAGATGCTGGAGAGCAATATTTGTCAGTCAGAAAGAAAACTGTGGCACCCATTCAGCCTCCAAATGAGGTACATAAAACAAGGTTGTATGTACGTATAATCATTATACTTATGTTTTGTTTTTAGGAGCGTGCATGTTCATGTCGGAGAGGTTGTAATTCAGAGCAATTAGTTGGAAAACATATCAGACTTTTTAAAATGTTTAGAAGCCTAAACTATGACGAACAAACTCGGTATTTACATAACCTATTAATACTACAAGAACCTGAGAGAAGGATCGTCGATGCCAATATTTCAAAGAGACAGTGCACCGTAAAATATTATGTTGAAAACGTCAGAGTTTGTCAAAAAAGTGTTTGTGAAATTTTTGGAGTGACCCCTAGGAGAATACAGTACCTTGTGGAAAAAATAAAGAACGGCACGGAAATAAGGGATCTTCGAGGTAGGCATGAAAATCGTCCGAAAAAGTTGCAACAAACAGAAAAAGACATGGTTTCTGAACATATATCTTCTTTTCCTTTACAAGAAAATCATTATAGCAGGAACGAGTCCTCAAAAAAGTGTCTTCCACCTGACTTAAATTTGGTTAAAATGCATAAGCTTTTTCTGGAAAAGTTCCCCAATTCAAAAATATCATTAAGGACATACACAGATGTTTTTAAGACCAAATTTAACCTAAGATTTGGAGCTCCCCGTACAGACACCTGTTCATATTGTGACAAACTGTATACTAAACTATGCGCCGCTGATACTGAGGATGAAAAGAAATCGATTATGAAGGAAAGTAAAATACATCACATGAGGGCAGACGCAGGTTATAAGACACTGAAAGCTGACACAGAAATGGTCATTAATAACCCTAACTTGATAGTGTTGTGTACAGATTTACAACAGGTTTTATACTGTCCAACATTAACCCATTCATCAATATTTTACCAGCGGCAGCTCGCTACTTATAACTACGCAGTACACGATGCTGCAGAGAACAATGCTACCATGATGCTCTGGCATGAAGCCCTGGCACACAGAGGATCTACCGAAATCGCATCCGCATTGTTGTTTTATATATGGCAAAGATTTGAGCCCTTGCAATTAGGGGAAGAAAGGAAACTGATTGTCTGGTCTGACCGCTGTGTTGGTCAAAACAATAACTGGAAGATGATTGCAATATACCGCTTCCTAATAATATCAAAATATTTTACAAAAGTAGACCAAAAATTTTTGACCACAGGCCACAGCTTTCTTCCCTGTGACAGAGACTTTTCGTATATCGAAAAATCAAAAAAAACATCAATGGTTTATGAACCATTTCAGTGGACTAATGTTATTGCTAAAGCCAAAGTTAAGAAACCTTTTAAAGTAGTTTGGATGCATCAGAGCTTTTTTAAGGATTTCACCAGTTTGGAAAGAGGTATATGGAAAGACCCTAAATGTAAAATAACTGAAGGACTATGGATTCAACTATGTGCTGATACTCCTACTACTTTAAGAATAAGAAAAACTCATAACATCCTCCAGCCGTGGAATAGTTTTCCTTTAAGCAATCGCAAAAGAAAAGAAACAATGACTGCTGCCACACAGAATATATCTTACACTGACTTGCCATCGATTTATCATAATCTACTTCCAATTAAAGCTGAAAAGCTGAAAAATCTTCAGGATATGTGCGATTATATAGCCCTTAAATATATACAGTTCTATAACAATCTAACTGGTAATTAAAATTGTTGATTTATCTAGTACTAAGATTTTATTTTGTAAAACAAGTTTTTTGAAAATAATGTTTGCGTTATGTAAGTTCTTTCTTTAAAATCTTTATTAGTAAAGTAAATTTATTAAAAAATCATTTGCTTTAATTTAATACACATTGCTTACGTGTAACAACGTTGTAAGTGCCATGAACATACAACGTTGTTACATGCATTTTGCACAATAATGACCTCTATAGTTGGATATTTCGTAATAAGCATTCTTAAAAATTATAAATCAGTATAGTTATAGCAACTTTAGTAAACTATACTAAATACGAAGTTTTATCATCACCTAAATGACCTCTTATCGTTTTTCGTGATTTACTCCATTCACTACTTTTGTTATATACAACGTTGTTACGGCCGACCCTTCAATTTTTAAAATTTCATGCGTTTTTCGCGTTGTCTGGCGGCATTTTAGCGACTGGAAAAATGTCTACCAACAATTTTCCACGTTTCTTAATAATAAATAAAAGCTATTTTCGCAATTATAACTCATGTATCTTATAATATTTTTAGTGTCAAAATTTCACCCTTTCGATTGGCCGCCCTCGCTTTAAGCCCTGGGATCGCGCTGGCAGACATGACTATTTCATAATGGCTACACAAAAGGATACTTCACACAAAAAATTAGCCATGTAACGTTGATAAGGTTTTTTATGTAACCAGCTCTTAGACTATTAGTTCCGTTAGTGTTACTAATATTTATTAACACCAAGTTGTTTAACACTAGTAACCAGTTTAACAATTTTAATAAAGAGTCGACAATCAGTGTCGACAATAGTTACCAAAGTCACCTCGTGATATTAAAAAATAACATCATAAAGTAATGATAGTTGAAAAAATTGCAAATTATTGGTGGCAAGTTCATTTTACTTTTAAAAATTAACCAAGGCATGTGTTAACATGAGTCAAAAAAGAAAATGCTCAGGAGACATGGTTCTGATTGAAAAATTATGTTTTAGGAAAAGTAACTTACGAAATTATTGCACAGGGTGTTTTAAAGTTAGAGTGAAAAAACAACCCTGCAATTAACCCTGTATAATAAGCCTAAAGTTTATAAAAAACTGAGTTTATGAATTAAAGTTCATAAATTTATATACAGTTTGCAGAAAAAAATCATAAAAATAGGACGAAAATTGAATAAAAAAATATAACAGTTTAAACTTGACGAAAAAATTCTCCGTTGCGTTTTTTTGCTTCTGAGTGTACTTACATTTTAAAAATAAGTTTTATGTAAAATAGAAAATTTTACATTTTAGAGCCCATTAAATGTTTACTATTCTCGTAATTTGTTTTTGAAGCAGCTACTTTACCGAATTCAGCGGACTTCTACACTCTCAACATAAAGCTACGGGAAGCTTATTCATCTGTTTATTACAAAGCAACATTAAAAATTAGAAAATTATTGTATTATATAATGTATTATTATAATACATTAAAAAATGTATTATAATATACAAAGTGTAAATTTTATTATTTTAGCTTCTTAAATTTATTAACACAGTCTTTCTTTTTCTAAACACAGATATTTCCTTAATATTTTTTAATCATTTTTCATAATTTTCCAGTCTACGATTAGAATTTTCTTGCGAAGGCGCAAAAAAAGTTTTTCAAGAATATACATTTTTCATTTTTACTAAATTTAATATACTGTACTCACAATAATTTGTTACAGTTGGGGATTGGAACCTTTGGTGTGTTACAACAGGAAAATAAAACACTAGTTCACCACAATACACCAAAGCACTTTACTTTTGCACTGGACGCGCGTTTCGCTGACGATCATAAGCACAGAAACGCGCGGCCAGTGTAAAAGTATAGTGGTTTGGTGTATCGTGGTGAATTTGTGTTTGATTTTACTTTGTAATACCAAAAGTTCCAATCCCCAACTGTAATTTACAGTTGTTTAAAAATTAAAAATAAACTACCAACGGGTAAAACATGAATGACGCGGGGATTCATTCTCTCCTATAAATTTCCAAGTGCCAAAAAAGTTTGTAGCGATTTAGTTAGGAAATTACGCAAAATGTAATTTGTGTCGAAGTTATTCTATATATTTTTACTACTTTTAGATGGAAACAATTTGAAAAATCTGTTACATCGGCTCTATTCTCTGTAGCAGACCTTGTCGAACTACTACTCTCTGATTACGTAAAGAATGGGGAAGGATTATTAGGAAAATTGAAAGGAAAAATGACAACTAACGAACTGGTGAGAATAGTGACTGATTTAATATTAGCCGCTGGCGATACAACGGCTTACTCTATGGAATGGACATTATATCTGGTTGGAAAAAATCTTGAAGTACAAGAAAAGTTACGCAAAGAGGTTTTGGAAGTGAAAGGGAAAGTAAGTATTTATTAATAAATTTTATTATTTTCCTTTAATTGTTTTCACGTGTCATTAAACTAGTTAAAATGCCTGATAACTAGGTAACAGTTATAGAATTTCTTATCATCATCTTTCATTATGAAAGAGTCTAATATTCTTTGCTTACTGGCCAGGTTTTTCTAAATCCTACAAATATCTGTATTTTAATAAGAGAAAGTTAAATGTACTAGTTGGCTTATATTATAGCGTGCCCAGAGGCGGATTATAGTACAAGCCGACCAAGCCAAGGCTTGTAGCGCCAAATCTGAAAGAGCGCCACATTTCCCAGTCAAAAGACAAAGTGCACCTCATTAACCGATTACCGAAAAAGATATGAAATGAAACTAAGAAGCAGTTTCAACCGGAGATCGAAAAAAAACGGCTTTTTAAACGGCTTAGAAAGTTAAAAGAATTACAAATTGATGTAATGGATTGTAGAGGACAAAGTTACGACAATGCTGCTAACATGTCTGGCTGCTATATAAGATTACAAGCAAGAATTAAAGAAATCAATCCATTGGCGACAAACGTTCCATGTGCAGCCCATTCACTGAATCTAGTAACACACATCCTCAGTTGACTTTTGTGTAACTTCGACATCATTTTTTGGCGTGGAACAGGAATTATACGACTTTTTTTCGGTATCAACACAAAGATGGTCTTTGCTTGAATTCAAGTTTTCTATTAAAATTTATCAGTCACCCGCTGGAGTGCACGAGCAGATACTAGTAAAGCTTTATACACGTCATACCATGAAATATCTGAGGTTTTGCTATCAATAGCTGAGGATGAACATAAAAATTCTTCGACAAGATCGGAAGCAAAAATTTAAGAGATTAATGCGATTCGAAGTTGCAATAATGAGTTGTTTTTGGCATGAAATATTGGAAAGATTTAATCAAACAAGCAAAGCTCTTCAGACATTGATTTACAATCAGTGTTTGGATTATATGAATCTTTACAAGGGTATTTAACTAATCTAATATACGAGATCAGTTTGAATCTTTTCTGACTGAAGCTGCTACTTTATGCCAAAATAATATTTTCCAGTATGATATATCCAGAATTAATATATCCTATTAATAGATAAATTAATAAATGAACTCATAAAAAAGAAAGACGCGTACTAAGAAATAGATAAAGAGTTTTCTTACCAATCCAGCCTGCTTAAGTGATGAAGATCTTAAGCAAGGTTGCTTGAAATTGATCAATACCTATAAAATGATCTGGATATAGCTATTGAAAATAAAATCCTCCAAGGTAAATATATTCTGAATCTTCCGCTGGTCCCAAGAAACTTACTAAAATCACTTAAGAAAGAAAATCTAGTTGGAATATTTCCAAACTTAGAAAGGAGAGAGATCGTTTTGGACTTTTAAGAGGGTTAAGAATTATTTGAGATCCAAGTTAGGTCATTCTAAACTTAGTGACTTAGCCTTAATGTCCATAGAATCAGATTTATTTAAAAATTTGGACGCAACAGAAATAATACAAGTTTTTGCAGAAAATAACTCCAAAAAAAAATTTTTTCATAAGGTTATTTTGTTATTTAATACTTATTACATAGCTTAGTATTTATGTTATCAAGGTAAGAAAAAGCATGTTTTTTAGATTTTAAACGTTTAATTTTTTTTATATTTATGTTTATCTAGACTAGATAATATCTAAACTCGATCGTTTCTTGTCGTTGAAAAATAAAATGTATTTTGTTGTTTGAGAATAAAATGTTTTGTACTTTTACTTTTTCATGTTTGGGTGATTTGAATAATGAAAAAAATAGATGGTGTAAAAATAGGGGCGCCAAAATATCCCAGGGCTTTGGGCGGTTTCAAGTGTTAATACGCCTCTGGTTAGAGCTGACATGGAAATGAAAATAGCTGCCAATTTTTTCATTATCAAATGTTGAAAAAAGAAAACATATTTTGGGCACGTTTCAACAGAAATTTTATATGAATATAGCCTCCCATGTACTTTCTCCCTGCAACAATTAATAATTGCAAGATCAAACTACTCGTAACACTGAAAATAGATTAAAATTAAAGTTATTACAATTTCGAAGTAATTACAATTTCGAAGACTCGTGCAAGGAGACACTATGCAATTTTAACAATTAATAAGCTTCAACATTTGACTGACTAAAATTTAATAACGAGAATACATAACTGTATTACAGAGGAAGTAAAACATAAAGGAAAGTTTTTAAGTTTCGATGTAATAATGTAAAATTATGATGAAGAGTTTTACATAATAATAATAATCTTGTTAAAAATTCCTGAAGTACATCGCTTCCGAGAAAAATAAATTTCCAAGTTTTGTATCTTCATGAAGTAGAAAATTCGTTTGCATTGCTATTCCTTTGTGTAAAACGAATATTTGCAATTTATTTTTATAAAGATGTATAGTTAAGTCTATAAATCCAGACTTAATTTGTTTCTTGGATGTAATTAAAATGTATACTGAATCAGCATTTGTTACAAGTATGTTCAGCTTATTGTTAAAAATGATTATTAATGTTCAATAATAATTTTATAATAATATATATAATATTCAGACTTATAATCATATATATCATATAATATTCAGACTTATAATCAGACTCATAATAATATATATAATATTCAGACTCATAGACTCTATACCTCATAACTGGCTCCTGAAAATATTAGAAATCTATAAAATCAGCCCTCATTTAATTCAATTGTTGTCCCATATGATGGGAACATGGAAGACGTCTTTAAAAGTATGTTCTTCGAGTGTTGGTGAGGTTCAGATACGGCGAGGAATTTTTCAGGACGATTCTCTGAGCCCCGTTTGGTTTTGCTTAGCTTTAAACCCTCTATCATTTCTTCTCAACAGCATGAAAATTGGCTACATGATCCGGATGAAGGATAAAATCAAATATAATCACCTTTTATATATGGATGATTTAAAACTATATGCCGAGTCGAAGCCACACCTTTCATCATTAATTGAAAAAACCAAAATATTTAGTCGAGACATTAAAATGAACTTTGGATTAGAAAAGTGCGCCACACTTTCTATTAAAAAAGGTGTGTTGAGCCCCATCAATGAACTCATTGCCAACATTCCTCAGCTTGAAGATGGCCAAACTTATAGATATCTGGGCACCCAGCAAAGTAAGAATATCTGTCATACAAAAATTAAAAAAGAATTTAAAGATAAATACGTGTGGCGCCTAACAAAGCTTTTGAACACCAAGCTGAACTCTAAAAACTTTTTAAAGCTATTAACACCTGGGCAATACCAATACTAACCTACACGTTCGGTATAATTAAATGGAGTAATACGGCCCTTGAAGAGCTGGATAGATTGACGCGGGTAAAACTCACTAAGTTTTCTCTTCACCATCCAACTTCGGCAATCGAGCGCCTCTATCTACCACGCTCACAAGGCGGACGAGGGCTATTAAACATATTCCAGCTTTGCCAATCACAAGTTGCCAAAATACGTCAGTATTTTCATAGCCATAAACATCCAAAAATAGTAAGAATTGTAGAGGCAGATGAATCCTACACCCCGCTCAACCTCACAAACCGTGAAGAAAATTTGTGTCCAGAATATAATGCAGTAAGAAAGAATAAGTGGCAAGAGAAAAGCTTACATGGAAGGTACCCATCTCAACTAGCTGCCGAAAATATCGATAAGCAATTATCCACCACATTTCTGGCAAAGGGCCAACTGCATCCTGCCACTGAGGGTTTCATTATAGCGATCCAGGATAAAGTCATAAGAACAAAAAATTACGAAAAAAACATCCTAAAGCAAAACGTTATTGACCGATGTAGGAAATGTAACCAATATGGTGAAACAATAGAACACATTTCTGGTGGTTGCGCTGTACTTGCGGATAGGGATTACCTCAGTAGACATAACCAGGTGGCTAAAATTCTACATATTCAGTTGGCTCTAAAATATAAACTTATTAATGATCCTGAGCCCTACTACAAATACTCACCTGCAGCAGTTCTAGAGTCAACGGACACCGTATTATACTGGGACCGTCCTATAATTACAGACAGAACGGTGGAATATAATCGGCCAGACATAGTATTGATCGATAAAGTCAATAAGAAGGCGTCTATAATTGAGATTGGAATTTCCCTCTCTCATAACATTCAAAAAGAAGAGCAGGAAAAATCTGTTAAATGCCAAAACCTTGCCTTCGAACTAAAACGCTTGTGGAATCTAAATTCTGTGAAGATTGTGCCTGTAGTAATTTTCGTTGAAGGTGTTGCCACGAAAAGATTAAAAACTAATTTGGAAGCGATAGATTTGCCAAAAGGCCTCTCAATATTAATTCAAAAGCTATTTTACAAATATGTCACTTAGTTAGAAAGTTTCTATCGCTCTAGAATTGTTCGGTTGGAGTGAATTCTCCCTCAGCAATTTTAATACTTACCGATAAAAATCGAGAAACAGCAACAACTACAAAACATATATAATATATAATAATTTAATATTGTTACGGATTCCGTGGGTCCACTAATTTAAACTCACGATAAAATACTTAACGAATTTATTTTCTCACTTTATACACAATTACTAACTTATAACACACAACAAACTAACTATTTATAAGATTCCTTCACCAAATTGTCCGATTTTCAATTTCCACGCGGTATATTCAAATTTCAAAAACTGTCTCAGTTGTCGATGGCTCCGGCTTATATACTCTATTGACTGCTTCTCGAAATTTCCCCAATTCTCGGAAAGCGTACTTCTTCATACCAGACAATTCCATTGTCTGATTCCCTTACTTCTCGACTTGACTAAAAGATGGCGCCTGAAAAAGTCTTTTAATTTCTGGCGGATACGTTGCGGTTGTGCAGGCAACCAGTAATACATTTTTAATTTCTGGCGGATACGCCATTTTTCTTGACAATATTAATATATTAATATGATTGTATTAATATTGATCATATAAATATAATGACAACTACAACATTAATGACAACTAATTCGATATACCTAGTATTTACCTAGTATATACCTTCTTAACCTAGTATAAGCGATCCTAATAAACAACCATCAACTGGGTCGCGACGATAGAAACTTTTCAAAAACATCAACAACCCAAACACTATAGATACTAGAGAAATAAAAAAAAATAATCTGCTTTTTGGTAAGGAGTAATCTACTGGATCACGGCAATTGATATAACTATCCCAAATGTCGTTGATTGGTCGTAGTAATAGTGTCGCGACCTAGCATGGAGGTTGTTCGCTAGGGTCGCTATACCAGGTTCTCTCTCTTAATCAAAACAACTGTCACGGCCCATTTTGTGGGTTATGACTAGGGGCATAGCAAATAAGAAATACTTCAATTTAATTTAATAGTTAATTTAATTAATTTACGAATAATGCATAATTAATTATAAAAATAAATATGTACTTACATATATTTATGGGCGAACATTATCATCACTGGCTCGGGGGTAGTGTCAGGGCTTCGAACGTTAATGCCCGAATCTCGACCACGACCTTCTCGAACATCAATTCTCGACTATCTACTGTCTCCCCAACAGGTGACATTTTTGTATTTATTGGTTCCTTACGTCGAATCATCGAATCAGCATTATTGGTCTATCGGTGCGATGACCGCGTTAGTGCTAATTTGATGATTTTATAAATTCGTAATATTGAAAGGAAATATTTTCGCAATTGCCAATTATGCTTATAGCTTTGATTTTTAAAACTTTACTTTTGTTGCGTAAATGCCAATGAACTTTAAATATTTTATATTTCCTTTCAATCGAATTATTAATTTACGAAATATATTTAAGTTATTTTATATATCCAATAATTCCATCCTTCACACTTCCCTCGCACCTCTAAAGTTGGACCACAGCGATAATTCAAGATTTATGAAATTATACTTTTAACAATAATTATACATTACAATAGTTAAATTGTGCTTAATAATTAACGTTTCATAATTAAAAAAATGTATTAAGATACAATATTAAATAAAAAATTAAAAAATGTTTTTAAAGAAATTATTAACTAAAAAAATATAAAAAACAGCTTCTCTATAAGTTTAACGATGGCGATTAGCCGTTTACATATAAACAATAATAAAAAAAATGTCTTTTAATACTGGCACTAACGTAAACTGCACAATACCTATATAGTTTTTAAGTTCAATACATTGAACTGAATTCGTTCATAAAACACCAATCCACAAATCTCGTCGGCTGCTCATGGATGCTGAGAACTGAAGTTTTGATTGTAGTATCCACCTTTACATCATAAACCTAACGAATGCACACATGCCTCCCGTTCGCTGCACTTTGAAAAGCTTTTCGTTTTGGTAAGCTGTTTCTAAACTCTTGCGTCCTTATAAAAAGAAAATATTCTATATAACACCCTGTACATTACTAATCAGAATTAATTCTTATGCTGAGTTTAAAGGTAGGGAAACAAACTTTACTGAAAAATGGTATTGCCCCCTTAAATTTATACAGGGCTATCAAAAGTTGCTGATCTGTTTTAAGGATATATTTTATATAAAAAACTTCGTTATTTCAAATGCAACACCCTGTATGTTTTTAAATAAATTGAAGCAGATTCAAATGCTCTTTTAAACTATATTAGGGTTTCCTATACCTATCTAGCTTAGTTTTTGCATAAAAAGCGATTTTTAAGTAAAATTGCAATCAAGATGGCTGGTATCGCTATGACAATTTTATAGTTAGTAACTATTTCCAAAGTCGACATTAGTTTATGGACATTATTATTTATAATTTATAACAGTTTACTTAAATTTACCTACAATAGTTTAATAAATAAGTATTCATTATTTTATCAAGAAAAATAAAGCAGTATTCTGCTGGTGGACGAATAGATGTTACAGGTGATTTTATTTTGTGAGGAAAACTGTTTCTTGGCCTCAAGGACTTATGCTTAAAGAAATCCAAATAGGAATCTTCCTGATAAGCGTGCCTTTGAAAAACTACTTGTCCTATTTCGCAGAGCTGGTAGTATGGTTTCTAAAAAACATATTAGGCAGAAATCTGTCGTTGGAAGTGAAGAAAATGAATTTGCCATAATTGGCTCTGTTATAGAAAATCCATATGTCTACAAGTCATCGTAAAATAAATCAAAGAACGCTTACTTCTTCGTTTTTCTTGATAGAATAATAAGTAAAGTATTGCAGGTAAATTAAATAAAAGTAAACTGGTATAAATTTAAAGTCCATGAACTAATTTCGATTTTGAAAATAGCTACTAACTGCTACTAGAAACTTGCCATGACGACACTAGCCCCCTTGGTTGCCATTTTATTGAAAAAGTGATCTTTATTCAAAATCTGAGCTAGTTAGGTATAAGAAACGCTAATATAGTTTGAAAGAGCATTTGAATCTGCTTCGAGTTATTTTAAGTATAAATTTAAGGAAGCAATAACATTTCTCAGCATAAGAATTAATTCTGAAAATTAATGTACAGGGTGTTAATAATCTATTTTCTTGTAGCATGCAAATTTAAATATCTTTAAATATCTCAAAAACCAAAGATTTTAAAGATATTTCACCCTTATAATAAATGCCTTTTTTTGGACCTAAGAATCAAAAATGAAATAAAATACAGGGTGTTTCATATAAAAAAAATATAACTATTGTATGAATCTTAGTTCTGAAATACCCTGTATATTTAAAAATAATTTTAAATTCTGCCCACATTGCCTCCCCACATATACCCATAAAATATGTTGTTTCTACATCTTTCCGTTTTCGTATAATCAACCGAGACGAATGAGGTGCGCACCCTGTATAATAAACGCGTGTTCAAATATTAATTCTGTGGAATATATATCAATATAACATAAAACGAGATGTAATTAACGAAATATCATCGTAACAACCATTTTAGAAACGTCTAGGTTTACTTATTTCACTGAGACTTATGAAAAAAAGTCCTTTGCCTTGGACACAGATACCGCCACGATTTGGAAACAACTCAAAACCAAATTGAAGGAGGCAACAAAAAAGCGCCAAAAAAATTCACCCTCGCTCTCTTCACGAATAGTTTTTAGGCGCTTTTAAGAATCGAAAGTAGGTCGAGGTATATCGAATAAATCGAAATGCGTCAAAGTCGGGCGACGAAATGCGACCTTGACATGTTTCGAAGAGTTTCTCGCATATTGTAGACGCTGCTTTATAATTAAGATTGAATACCTATTTTTCAGGATGATTTGGGCAGCAAAATCTACCTAAAAAATGCGATTAAGGAGTCGCTCAGACTGTACCCAGTGGCGCCGTTTCTAACAAGGATATTACCAGACCAGGCGGAAATTTGCGGCTACCAGATGCCCGCCGGCACTGTGCTAATATTATCGATATTTACTGCAGGCAGGGATCCGAGAAATTTCCAGGATCCGTTACACTTCGATCCAGACCGGTGGAACAAGAACGATAACAACAGTAACAGGATGCGGTTGGCTTCGATACCCTTTGCTATTGGGGCTAGGTAAGAAAACATTATACAGGGTGGGGCCTCTCATAGGCCGCGGAAGCTCCAAGGAGAACGGTAGTTTATATCGAAATGGAATTTTGGCAGCGTGTAGGTTAACTGAAAGCATTTTATAAAAATATATAGAATTATACGGGGTGTCCCCAAAAAAAGTTACACATCAAAGTTGTGTATTTTAACATAATGGAACACCCTATATATTAATTAATTTTCGGATTCTAGAAAAAAAATAAAAGTGAGTTTTATTAAAGAAGCATATATCTAAAATCTAAGGATTCTGACATATTTCACATTTTGTGAAAATGAAGAGTAAATTTTAAATTTCGATAACAGCTACCTAAATTTTAGTTGACCTTGTATAGCCTGATATTTAATTACAGTAACCATTGTATGTTAAACCAAATTGAAATTTGATCCGAAAAGTTATACAGGATGAGACAAAATTAATATGGAACATTAGTCACTTTTAAGAGCAAGTTATCCCGTTATTTTAAATGGAACACCCGGTATATTATTCCGGTGTTCAATGGGGAAGTTATATATCTTCAAAATTTTATAAGGTTGCCTACCCCTCAGACAAAGATTTTCCTAGATATTTAAATTTTTATGATTTTGCGTCAACAGATCTTTATAATTTGAAAAGAATCTAGGTAGCTGTGATATAACTTTTGTTAATTTAACAAAAATTAAAGAATATCGAGTAAAATACTCAACGGTAATAAAAAGATACACGTTTAAAACATATTTTAATTATTACAGAATTAAAACTTGATATAAACCTATAATTATGTGGCAAAAATTAGCTAGATGAAATCAAATGTTCAAAATGCTTCCTTTCCTGTCAACTGCATAAAATGATTGTCTTTTCAAAAGGGTCTATTCATTTTAAAAGGCATATGTGGAGTTCTACCTCGAAAAGCTGCTACAATAATTTCTCTAATGTTGTCGACAATAGTTGGTCGAGTTTTTTAAACACTATCTTTAACATATCCCCATAAAAAATCCAGACTAGATAAAATCAGTAGCATTTAAGCATTCTATTAATGCAGTGTGCATTCACTAACTAATAGGATCATATCAATTCTATCTTATATAGGATAAGTTTGCATTTTCGGCAAATTTCGGAGAATTTTTTTTTGTTTTAACTGACACAAAATGATAACTAGTTGTCAAAGTTGGACTGATTAGACAGCTATGTTGAAGTAACGTCAGACATATCACAGCCACATAGATTTTATCAAAGATCTACTCAGTATCTATCACATCATGTAAATGAAAATATCTAGGAAAATCTTTGTTTGAGGGGTAGGCAACCTTAATAGTATTCTGAAGAGACATGAATTCTTCATTGAATATCGGAATAATATACTGGGTGTTCCATTTAAAACAAAAGAGTAACATGCTTTTAAAGATGAATGTTCAATATTAATTTTGTCTCACCCTGTATAACTTTTTGGATCAAGTTTGAATTTGATTTAAAGGAAAATAATTAATTTAACTACATATTAGGCTCTACCGGGTAAATTCCAATTTATGTAGCTTTTATTGTAATTTACAAAATTGTTCTTTATTTTTAGGAAATGTTAAATATATCACAAACGTTACATTTTAGTCGTATACTCTCTTATAAAATTCACCTTTATTTTTCTCCCAGAATCTGAAAATCAATTAATATATAGGGTGTTCCATTACAAAAAACACAACTTTGATATGTAACTTTTTTTAGGGACACCCTGTAGAATTCCTTATATTTTACCCGACCTTTTCAGTGGAGGTGGAAAATCTTTAGGATTACCTAATAATTGTTGTAATTTATTATTAGCACATTTATATAAAGGTTTATAATTGACATTCTTAAAAATTATTTTTAAACAACGGGATAACTCTATCAAACGGTATTGCAAAATACCTTGACGGATCTTTCTTCAGTTGAAAATTCGAATTTTCAGAAATCGCAAACTTGTACGTTTTCTAATTATTTTATCAAGTAATGAATAAGCATGTCCATTACACTCAGTTACATTCCTAATGTAATTTCTTTCTACTTCAAATCTTTAGTTGGTAAGTGGAAAACTAAGTAGGTAATCTATGAACCAAAAAATTTAAACTAGCAATCTTAAGTTCAATACTATGATATGAGTTATATGAAATTGAGATATGATTAAAAATACGATTTGGGCTTTTAACCGGCCAGGATAAGACACAAAAAACATTAGACAATCAAATATATTTTTCCAAGGCTCCTTGATTAAAAAAAACATAGGATATGTCATTCTATTCAGAATGTAATAGTTTTCTATCGAATAAAGTAAAAATATACCGAGAGTGCCATTTTATAAATCAAAAGTTGTAGATGACTACAACGCCGGAAATGATTCCGGCGAAACAGGAAGTGGCTGAAAACAACTGAGTATTGATGTCAACCAATCCTAATTTATGTCATATACTAACGAACCAAATCTCGATTTTAATCTGAAGAAAAGAATTATAGGGATGTGCCACTATTGCGACGCACCCGGTAGATAACCATAGTTCCATTAAATGATCGTAGGTCGACTGGCTGTCTAATGAATACACTGTGCTATGCTATAACCATGTAACAAACAAACCAGTTTAATTAAAAATATACTAAAGAATTGTAGTAGTTAATCCTGAATCTCTTTTTTAATCTACCCAGATTCTTTATTTTGCAGGTCTTGCATAGGCAAGAAGATTGCGGAAACCCAATTACAAAAAACGCTAGCGGAAATTCTAGTACACTTCCGTGTCAATGTGCTTAATGAGGAAGCGGTAGATGTTAAGCTGGAAATGGTTGCGGTCCCATCGGAGAAAATTAAATTTCAATTTTCCATTAAACAATGAACACTTTTGTCAAAGGAATAAGTAATAGAACAAAGAAGGGCGGATAATTCTATGAATAATGCCCGAATTACTTGAAATTGATTTGGGATTATTTAAACCAGGAGCTTAATCAACAAATAATCAACAAATTTAATGTAGTAAACGGATAAATTGTTAATTTGTCATAAGTTCTTGCCTTATACAGGGTGTTTCAAAAAACATGTGCCATCTCTCGAGGGAAGATTCCTCTTGTAAAAATAAGATTTATTTTTCATATTAACTTAGGTCCGATTCTGCTTTGTTTCGTACCTACAAGGGGGTTAAAGTATTTCTATCTTTTTTCGATTTATTATAATTTACTTCCAAGTGCGTTTTAGCGATTCGAATGACATTTTGAGGGTAAAAGTTACTATAAGTGCGACATATTTTAATGCTAAAGAATGGCGGAAGATTCGCCAGGGGCGTGCATATGGGTTATCACTGGAATATTTTTCTAAAAAGCACATGTGCGCCACTGACATGTTTTTCTCTTGTTAACGAAACTGTTTAGATCGTTTAATGCGGTTTAAAATTTGTTTTTTAATACTTTGTCGATTTCGGCCTCCTTGATTTATAAATGTCATTTTATTAATTCACCTTAATCTAAGTCTCATAGCAACCTTTAAAAAAACTGGCCAAACTGTTAAATATGTACTCGTTGATTCCTCATCAAAAAATATGAAAAAAAAAATTATATAAACATGGGTGCCCGGAAATGTATAGTTTTAAAGTTACAGGGGATGTTAAAGTTTTCAAAAAATAGGTATTTTGTAATTACCTTAAAACCCATTATTTTTGAATTAGCTGTAGTTAGCACTAAATATCAGTATTAATACACAAATACATATACATTAAACGGCCTAATTTTTTTTTATAACAATTGTTGATAACCCATATGCACGTCCCTGGTAAATCTATCGACATATTTTTAGCATTAAACTATGTAGCAGTTATATTAACTTTTTTCCCCAAAATTTCATTCGAATCATTAAAGGCACTTAGATGAAACTTATAATAGATAAATAAAAAAATGAAGATTTTAACCCCCTGTTAAAATGCTACGAAACCAAGCAGAGTCGAACCTACGTTGATATAAAAAATAAATCTTATTTTTAAGTGCGGAATCTGTCCACCAGAGATGACACATGTTTTTTGAAACATCCTGTATGGGATGATTGATGGCGATGCCATTTACGGAGAACTGGTAGTAGGAATTTTGAAAAATATTTTGAAATTTTTTTAGCTTTTAGGTAAAATCTATAATTTCTTGATATATATGGCAACATAGATAGTAGAATAAATATACAAGAAAGAAAATACAGAAAAGATCGAGTGGTTCTCAAAATTTAAGCAAAAAATTATTCTTTTTGGAAATGTTTAAAAAAAAATAACTCGTTTTTTGGAATTGTTTGAAAAATGGTAAAGAGAAAATATGTTTTTTATCGAGAGCGCTACCAACCCTGAAAATATTTGAACTTATTTAAGACTCACCATGTATACAGATTGTTAACTGGACGGTTACTTATTGGGGCAGAACACTTACAGAATGGCAACACTGCCTACATTCCAAATGATTACTAAGCTAAGCTGCCGACTCGTCCCGTCGCGCGTCGCGTCGTCTCTCGACGAGCGGGCCTAGGTTGCCTATTTCAACCATAAAGCTCTTGCCGCGTGTAATAAACAAATTAACAACCTGTATATCAGTATCCTATACCTATCTCGAATAACAAATGTAGTAATATAGGGTGTTTAATTTAAAAAAAAAACGAAGATACTATTGCTTTTTCCATGAAGCGGCAGAAGAAACTCTTCAGAAAAAAATAAAGAATTTTAAAACTCACTATCACCGGTTCTCCACATCCTATAGCTACCATCGCCGTGAATAATCCTGTATTTTTAAGCCTTAGTTATTTTTAAGAATATTGTATTATTGTAATTGTAGTAAATATAAGCTGGATGATGCTGGCAAAAGTAATACGGATGAACAAACTATAAAAACAATATATTAAATGAGATAAATCCAATGTAAGTTGCAATATTTCATTTATTAGTTTTGATATAAATTGTTTGCATTTATTATTATCTCTAATAGTTGTTTTGTTTTTATAAGAAAAATAAACATTGTATTTTTATATTCTATTAGTTTAATATTTAATCATATATAAACATTTAGGTAAATATAGCCAAAGCTTCTCTAAAATATGTTTAGGATATGCAAAAGATATGCAAACGTCAATGCAAAAGATAATTTTATTAAACCTACCTGAAGCATACTTCCATTTTGTATAAATTAGTCCAACTGACAAGGTGAGGAAAGTTAGAAACTCATTGAAAGCAGGAATTATAAAAACGATCCTGCTTGGGCTGCTACAATCCTGCTTTATCTTGCTTCAAATCCCAACCCAGCAACACCTACCTATTTTGAGCTATAGTTACTTCTATGTTGGTTGCTGACTTCCTAGTTGGCAACACATGGGAAGCAGCATCTCCAAAACTGGTTCAACACTTGCTGCTTTAAGATACAGCAAGTTTAAGTCTGATTGTGACGTCAGACAACAATAAAAGCAGGGTGGCTGAAACAAGTTCCTGCTTTTACTGCTTTAATCCTGCCTTATCCTGCTTCAAACCCCATACAAGCCACTCTTGTCGTTTTTAAAATAGAACGAATCGATTCCTGGTAATCAGTCACACATTAAGATTAGGAATATATTTTTTTAACTTGATAAGTTTCAGCATAGGCTGCTATATTTTGCTTTATTTGCCTAAAATATGTATAAGCTTCCAAGCCATAAATAATTATTCCGAACAGTTGAACAAAATACGGCAGGTTTGGCTCCGTGTCCTAGCGGACAAGTCAGCAACAAGTTTTTATATCATATAATTTGTGTAATGAGATTATAAGTTGATAATAAAAGTGATACAGAAAATTATTTTCTTCGTTTTAGAGCATTTAAATAAGAGCTTGTTTTTAAAAATGTTTTTAAAAGCTTTTATTTAATTTGCAATGTATGTATGTATATATGTATGCATGTATGTATGTATGTATGTATTTCCCGCGGCTTTTGGATTGTTTGTTTTTGTCTCTGTCTAATACATTTGAATTGGCGGTATCGATTGTTTTTGATAAACAGTAAAATTGTCACGTGATGGTCTGTAGGTTACTTCGAGAAGCCAATCCCTACCGATCCCACTGCCATTGGACACTAAATTGCGTATTGCAGGAGAATTGATGGGAAGTGGGAAGTGTTTAATGACTGCGACAAAGAATTTCGCAATACATCGGCTTCTTGCGTAGTTAACGCGCACTTACTTTTATATTCAGTTTAGTTTTTTGTTTAATAAAAATTTAATTTTTCATAGATATTTGTTTAATGTTTTTTTTTCCAGTTCGCAACCCCAATGAGCCCATGGGTATTCTTATATAATTTATTGGCAGTCTCGCTGTGAAAGGAATCATTAGAAGCATTTTATATTTGATCTTTTACAGGTTACATGATTGGAAAACTCCAATTCCCGATTTCCAGTAATCAAAACGAAATTTGCTGTATTTCAAAAAACAGCAAGAGTGGCTGGTATAGGGTTTAAAGCAGGATGAGGCAGGATTATAGCAGCAAAAGCAGGAACTTGTTTCAGGGCTTTTATTGTGTTGCTATTTGTGACGTCACCAATCAGGCTTAAACTTGCTGTATCTTAAAAACAGCTAGTGTTGCTGGGATGAAATTTAGAGCAGGATGCAACAGGGGTATAGCAGCGCAAGCAGAAACCGGTTTTGGCGATCCTGCTTCTCATGTGTTGCCAACTGGGAAGTCAGCAACCAAAATAAAAGTAACTATAGCTCAAAATTGGTAGATGTGGCTGGGTTGGGATTTGAGCAGGATAAAGCAGGAGTGTAGTAGCCCAAGCAGGATCGTATTTTATAATTCCTGCTTTCAATGAGTTGCTAACTTCCCCGATCTCAACTGACATGACTTAGAAAATATCACAATTTATACACACATGATTCACGTTTTATTAATATATTAAATCATCGCCTTTAAACTGAATTCCAATTCATTATTACACCACATAGAATTCATCTTTAAATTCGGATTATTGAAATATAAAAAAGGTTGAGTAAAATCGATAGATATTTTTAAACCTCTTACCTTTAAAGACTTTCCCGAAGCAACCTTCCCCTAATTCATTCAGGAACTTGAGCGTCTCTTTTCTTATAACGGGCACGTCTGTACTAGAACAGACGGAATATTGCGGATTGGGGGCGTATCGTTCAGGTATTAATAGACCGTCCTTTAGATTCATAGGGGCAGCCTGAAATAAATCAAAATGGTTGGTGTTATACGTATTTTTAGCAACAATATGTAAAGTAACTTTATGACTAAGGGTGTCTTAAATTACTTTTGTTTAATATAAGTTTTGTTTCTGTCAGTGTAGTACGTTGTAGTGGGCGTGAGCCGTTGCATGTACAGAACCAAATCAAACTTTAGTTGGAATGCGGAAATTTCTGGCTTTAACAAGGGTGCAATCTTAAAGGGTCCAATTTAACAATAATAATAATGATAAATAATTCTATTATTGACAGTAATACATAATAAAGAAACATAAAAGGCAAAGTTGATACAGATATAGATGACAAAAGCTTCATAATTTCAATATTACGCATATTTCTCTACTGTACACTATGCAACCTCGCATTTTAAGAACGCATATTCCGATTTGAATGGCTTTTTTCCAAAGTAAACCTACAAAATATACAGCGACTGCTAATATTCCGTGGACATAGAACAACAGGGTATTTTTTGAATCAAAATAAGTTAATTGTACACAGTTTACCCATATACAAAAGTGCTTCATTTGTCCGTTAGAGGGCAGCAATCAAAAATAAATCCGAACGTTAGTTAATTTAAAATTTATGAAACTTAGTAAATATCATTTTTGATACTACAGGTGATATTATAGTAACATAAAATTCCATATTTTCGCCAACTGTATTATTACGGCATAATAGATTTTATGCATCTACATAGTTTGATTTGACAAGAAACATTTCTTGGAAGTGAAATTCGAAAATATATTATATATTTTTTCCTCAAAAAGTATGCGGCGTTTTTTACAAGAGACAAAAAATCTTTTTGAGATAAAATGCTGCTTTTTGAACCAGAAAGCATAATTTTTTACTTTTTTTTTGAAAATGTTCTATGATGTCAGAGGGGATTTGGATGCTATAAATAAACAAAGTATAATGCTGTTTAATCTGCTTGGATGTCAAGTTAATTAAAAGTTTTCCGGCTAGCAGAGTATTTGTTTAACGTTACTTTGTGTCAGTAGTAAACAATTTTAAAGAAGTATACTTTTTAAAAAGTAAATACCGCCAACGTTTCTGTGGTAAAAAAATTGAGTGATTACAGATTAAATGTTTTAAACAAATTTTTAATTTTTAAATACATTTTCTTTAATTATAGTTAATTGTAAAACTTCTGTTTTTTAGATGTCTTAATATATTTTATATTCTTTCCTTTAATCTATATTATTATTAGAAATTAAATTTTCTACAAGAGAAACAGCAGCCAAAAGCGGCATGTAAAGATACTGCTGTAATAGATTTTTACGGTTGACCTTTAAGTAAAACGACGTCTCTTACCTTCTCCTTACAGTTTGGTAAATGGATCTGAGACAACGGGACAACGGTAAAAAGAAAACAGTTTTCTAAAAACATGGTTGATATCAGTCATAACATTTCTAGGGGCCGTATATATTCTATAATAATATTTTCGATATTTTCCTGTGAACTTTACAATATTGTTTTATTTTAAAGTTATCTATATTTTTGCTTGCTTCATCCACGTTACCGTAGATGGAGCTGAAGGTTTGGTAGGGTATATATAAACACACAAAATACAAGAAGCGGAAAAAGGGGCCAAAAAACCCCTACATATATGCTAATTCTCTGCATTAAGTTCATCAGACTGACGGGAACAGCCATTCGACGACCAGTTTCGGAGATTTATCTCCATCGACATCGTCTGTTCCCTTCAGTCTGATGAACTTAATGCAGAGAATAAGCATATATGTAGGGTTTTTTTGGCCCCTTTTTCGGCTTCTCGTATTTTGTTTGTTTATATATACTCTACCAAACCTTTAGCTCCATCTACGGTAACGTGGATGAAGCAAGCATGTTTGTCCAGTAGGCCGCTGGTTTTAATTTTGGTGGTACGATCTGTGATTGTCACAGCTACCGCTAGATGGCGAGAGCGTCTAGCACTCTCCATGTCACAGTTACCGCTAGATGGCGAGAGCGTCTAGCACTCTCCATAGTAGTACGTTTTGTACTCAAATGCTATTCTCTGTTTTTCGTTTTGTCAGATTGAGGGCTACAGTAAAGTCGGCCTGACGATGGAGATAAATCTCCGAAACCGGTCATCGAATGGCTGTTCCCGTCAGTCTGATGAACTTAATGCAGAGAATAAGCATATATGTAGGGTTTTTTGGCCCCTTTTCCCGCTTCTTGTATTTTGTTTGTTTATCTATATTTTGTTCAGTTATTTGCCAAATATAGTAATATTTGTTAGAAAGCATGTACTAATTATAATCCGCATAAATAAAGTTAAAAACACAAAATACAAAACAATAACACAGCCACTGGATATTCCAATACTAGTCAGTATGTTCACTATTTCCAGAAAAGGGCATACAACTGAGGGTAGCACTGGCCAATATCGAAAGGTTAAGCGCATGGCTACCCCCTAGGAACGAAGCTCTGGCAATTATGCGTTGTCGGCTTACCCGAATTAAATAAGATATTTAGAAAAAGCCTTTTTTAATAGACAGAATGAAGGAAATCAGTTAAAGTAAATATACATCTAATAAAAAAAACATGTTAAAAATAGCATGTAGATATAAAATTATGTATAATTAATTAAAAATGTATTAAATTTTTAAACTTGACTTAATTTTTGTCCGCTTTCTTTGCTACAGACAGTTTGTCAGATAATATTCTGAAATTAAGTGAGATAGGGAAATGGATAATATCATAATCCTGGTAAGTATGATACACAATTTCTTTAAATTGAAGAAAAAATTAAAAAGAAAGATTGAAAGAATTTTAAAAGACAAGGAGTAAAGATAAATTTGAGCGTTAAAAATTTATTTAGAGATAAAAGTGATGAAATTATTCATATTCTTCATAAACATATTAATTAATAGCATTATTATTATTATTAAATCGTAACATTCATGTTCATAATAATTAACAAAATTGATATTATAATAAATGAAATTGAAACAGTAATGTACTACATGTATAAAGGGAAATTAAAACAACTTTCGTTGCACGGCATCATGACACCATGCGTCGTCTTATGGAGTTTGCTGGTGGTCGTATTATGATGTGCAACCAAATTTATTTTAATTTCCCCATACCTACTATTAGTATTGAAAAGAAAATCTATAAAAACAATATCAAATCTTTAATTATTTAGGGACAATTATTAGTAAAAGATTAAGTAAGGATAAGGGGATAATGACCTAAGACAGGTGTAAAATGCGTAATACTATTTTGATATCAACAAAAAAAATATAAATAAGAAGTAATAAAAAACAATTTTATAAATATTTAATATAACTTTGGATTTTAATTTTTTTCATACAATAATTAATGTTAGTAAGTAATTTATTGTTATTATTTTTATTTTTAAAATACGCAGTTATAGAATAGCATTTCACCATTAATTTACTGACTAGAAAAATATATTTATTCTAATTTTTTTTTTTTTTTTTTTTTTTTTTTTTAATAAATAAATGATTTTTAATGTACGGACATTAATTTTGGATTAAAAAAGTAATTGCAAATGCAAACATAAATTGTTTATGTCAATATTAATTATATTTAACTTGGCGCGAATGTCTTTAGAAGAATTAGTTAAGACTTCATTAATAATTAATTGTATTAATTTTTTTTTTTTTTTTTTTTGAATTTTGTTGAAAATAGGAGAAACCTGCCTAAACAAATAGTTCTCATCTTAACTGTAGCAGTTATAAAATAACTTTTTAAATTATGTTCCTAAAATCTATTTCTGACGAATCAAATATTAATTTATTTTCTGAATCGGCTGATGTCATAATATTCCATGAACTAAATTCAACTAGAACTAGTTTATTTATTCTAGATAGTATATGTATTTGTTTAATATAACCGATATTCTATCGACAAATATGTGAAAAAAATATCAATGTAGTCCCAATTTAACACAAAATTTTCTATTGGTCGGCATCATACTTGATACTTTTAAAACTGGCGCATGTTTGCAATTCTATTGAGTGGAAACAAAATTTCTAGTAAATTAATTTTCAGTCGACAATTTGCACGGAAATTTTTTATTCCAATGGAGATACTACTATAATTGAGCTGGAATGCTTAAAAATATTTAAAAAAAAATATATCATATTATGCATATCACGTATATATCTATAACCTAGTAAAAACTGCTCCGATCTATACAGGGTGAGTCAACGATTATTTCGTTTGTTTTCAAAATTACAAAAAACTGCTAGATAGAAAAGTTTTAGGGAATGTTATGATACACAACCAGGGGCGGCTTGTCCTATGAGGCAGATGAGGCAGTGCCTCACCAATATATTTGAAAAATTACACTTATTAATCGATACATCTTTAATCACAATTTTATATTTTTTTCCCTGTTTGCATTAATAATAATTGTATTTTTTAACCGTCATTTTACAATAAATTACGTCGATGGTATTCCTTTAAACGCGCTTCCTATCCCATATTCGACAAACTCGACGATGTATATCCATCTCATTTGTTCTTTAGGAAGTATATGTGCAGAGGTTTGCCTCTCGCCTTTCCTTGTCTAGCGTATTTTGGTATATCGCACTGACGGAACGACAGCTTTCACTGGAATCTTAACTCCATAGAATGAAAAGAAAAAGCATAAGTAAAACCTTTAGTTGAAGAGAGATAAAATGTATGGAGTAGTAGCGCGTAAAGACCGTGAGGCGGGCCTCAAATATAAATATGAACTTTAAAAGCCGTTCGTTAAAAATATGTATCACTTCCCGATCAGCCCGAGAGATTTTAGGCGACAGGCAAAATGCAGAATTACATGGCTATTTGAAATTTAAACTTGAAGTTGAATCAGTTTTAATTAATTCTGCAGGTTATTACACTGTTTTGTCTACGTTTTTTTAATGTAGATTGTATGTTTAATTACTCTTTTTAATGATTATTGTACATATAAAGTAAATACCTAAAAAGTGGGCAGTGACTTGGACTTGTTGATTGATATGATGAT